GGATGCTCTAAACCTCAGGCATTCTTAACGGATGGGGCAAGTAGGACAATGAGGGGTTAAGCACACACCCAAATGTGGCCAGTGAATGCTGGAGTCAGGGTTACATTCCTGTTCTGATAGGCAGAGGGCTCTTCTTCCCTTTGTCTTCAAAAGAGGATGGAACCCTCCTGGTCTGAAATAGAAATTTGTCAGAGAAGCCTAAAAAAATGCAATGATCTTAATCTTTTTCTGTAAATTGGTCATTTAGCCCAGACAATACAAATCATTTCTTTCAAGGAGAACATCTGAGGCAAACTGGTTAGTTTGTAAAGAAAACCTTCAAGATGAACTATATTAATGTGTTAATTGAAGTAATATATTCTTTGACAGAGCTAAACAGAATTGCAATAAATAGCCGTGTAATACTATACAAATAGGAATAATGATTAAGAGTTACTAATAATTAATAGCATCTTATTGACATTCTCACTAGTCACTATAACCTACCACCGTAGTCAGATGAGGAAGCCAAGACATAGTTAGGTTTAAGCTCACGTATGACAATGGACATAGTACCATTCTACTGGGCCATTCTGATTTTAAAGCCAAGTAGCTATACTCTCTCTCTTTTAAAGGATGTTGCAGCTTTCTTAAATAATTTCTGCATATTATGTTTGTCTGAGTGATAGATGACTGGGGAGGCCACTGTACTTAAGTAATAGTGACAAGAGTAACAGTGAAGTGTGGAGTTAGTCAAGAACAAGGGGAAGTAAGGCTGCATGTTCTGTCTTCATGACCAGGAGCTCAAGGACCACCAAACTCCAGGGAGCCTGACTTCCTAATGTTTTCTTACAGTGAGTGTGGTAGTACCTTATTCATTCAGCACTCAGACACAGAAGATGCAACTATCAGAGATAAAATAAGCCTCAAGTCAAGGAGCAAATACTGGTCTAAAAACTGGACCACCAGAAAATGCTTAGATTATATCTGCAAGTGTTAATGAAGCTGGGGAACTTAAAGTTCTGTTGAAGGACTAGAAGAAAGTACAGTTCATGTTGTAAATGTATTCTAGAGGATCTCCCCATTTGTGAGAGCTACACATGGTCTGTGCATTTCAGTTGAATTCAGCATGCACTGATCATGCACCGTTGTAAAAGATGGGGCAATAGGCAAGAATGAGAAGTATGTTCAGACAGTGTCTACCCTGAGGAGTTTACCATTTAGTTGAGAAACGTGAATTTTGCTAGTTTCCTAGTTTCTGTTTGGCTCTCTTTTTTAGATTAAGTATACTCTTCTGAATATAACATTTAATTCCATTTGACATAATATTATTTTTAATTTGATTTTTAATCCATTCTTTGGGAGATGTTTGCAAGTTCACTTCACTCAGTTCAGTCTGCAACTGAACGAGCCTGTTCTCTGTGTCATCATTTTGTGCCACTGATTAAAAGCAAGACTTGATGCTGCGGCCAGAAACAGGGTCCTCTGAGATATTGCTTTGTGCTTCTTGGTCAAAACCAAGTCCTATCTATATGATCGTGTAATTCTCTAAATGAAGGACTGAACTAATGATCTTTAAGCCTCTTCCAGGTCTAAATATACTTACTCATGTGCCACATAATGACATTTTGGTTGATCATGGGCCATATACACGATGGTGGTCCCATAAAATTGCAATGGAGCTAAAACTTTCCTATTGCCTAGTGATGTTGTAGCCATCCTGTGTCATAGCACAACATGTTACTCATGTGTTTGTGGTGATGCTGGTATGAACAAACCTGCTGCCAGTCATACAAAAGTATAGCACATACAATTATGTGCAGTACCTAATACTTGATAATAACAATGAATGACTGTGTTACTGGTTTGTGTCTTTATTATACCTTCAATCATTGTTCTAGATTGTATTTTTTATACTTATTAAAAAAGCATGCTATATGACAGTATGTTGTTATGCTGGCAGCAGTGTCATACATCCCATGTTTACCTGTCTCTTGATCACATTGTTTTCTCTTGTGCTAGATTTGATCTTGTGTTGTTTTGCACAGTAACTGCTGGACAGGCTTGTAGCTTAGGAGCCGCTGGCTAGACCATATAGCCTAACAGTAGGCTATACTATCTGGGTTTGCATAAGAACCTTTATGATGTTCCCACAATGACGAAATCACCTAACAACCCATTTCTCAGAATAGATCCCAGTCATTAAGGGATGCATGACTGCATGTAATTTTGGTTCAAAATAATAAAAACAAAAAAAGCCTTGCAAAGCTGTGAGTTTGAAGTGGTAAAACTGTTCTCTGTATTTTGGATGGTATTCGTAGAACCTGGAACTCAACAAACCTGTGTGTTTTATATGTTCTGCGTTTTGGGAGAAGCTGAATTGACCTGGCTTCCGGATGTCTGTGTTTGGCAACCTAGTACTCCATCTTACCTCATGAACTAACACAGTGATACGAAGTGAACTTCTTTGAGCCAGTCTGTGTACTTATTAGTTAGAAATTGAGATATTTGTTTCAAAGGAAAATTTGCCAAGGGAATAGAGGACAAAGGAAGAATGTGTTTCTGAGGGATAGAGGTGTTCACAATACAGACAGGAGACAAGAAATTGAGATTGGGGTTAGAATGTCACTGATTGACTGGGTCTTTGGCATACCTTGAACCTCTCTGATTCATATTTATCCTCTTGGATAAAATTAGAGGTGTGGCTTAAATGGTCTGGTAAGAATCCTGCATGCTGGGTAGTCTTCAAATAAAAGACACTTCACCTTGATAGCTTATGTTAGGAACAGATCATCAGGAGTTGGAGTAATAGAGGAGGAATGGCATTTGGGTATTAGCAGGGCATTTTTTTCCTGTTTCCCCAAACTCCTCAATCTTACTAGGTTCAGAGGGAGGAAGTAGCACATCTTATTAGTTCCATTGCTGCTGGAGCAAATGACAACAAGGTTAGTGGCTTAAAACACACATTTACTGTTTTCTAGTTCTGAAGGTTAGAAGTCGGAAACAGGTTTCATTGAGCTAAAATCAGGGTGTAGGCAGGATCGTTTTCCTCCTGGGGGACCTTGGGAGAATCTCTTTCCTTGCTTTCTCCTGCTTCTGGGGTCTTTCTACATTCCTTGATTCATGGTCTCTTCCTCTATCTGCAAAGCCAGCAGTTGCCTCACTCTGACCTCTGCTTCTCTGACTCTCCTGCCTCCCTCTTATAAGGACCTTTGTGATTAGATTGGGCCCACTGGGATAATCCAGGATAATCTCCCCAGCTCAAGATCCTTAACTTAATCACATCTGCAAAGCCTCTTCTGCCAAGTAAGGTAACACATTCACAGGTTCTGGGGATTAGGAGGTGGATGTCTTTGGGGGCCATTATTCTACCTACCACACATATATATTGTTGATAGCATTGCACTGGCCCAGGAGACAATACTTCTCACTCTTGAAAGAAAGATTGCTAGTGGATTAAATCATTTTTAGCATTCATGGGGGACCTTCACTGCACTGCTCCAGCCTCTTGTGCCTCAGCAGGGAGTTTATTAAAAGGAAAAAGGGGAGAAAATGGGAAAAAAACTACACAGTTGGGAGGCAGTTTTATCAACTCAAATGGAGTCAACAGCAAAGCCTTCAGAGGGAGAGTATACAACATACTCTTATTCAGTATGAAAAAAGAGTAAAAGGCAGAGAAAAAGGCAGATATGTTTTAAGGGCCACAGCCACTGGTATTGGGAGATGTGTCTCTTAGGAAATTTGGTTAGGTAGTATATTAGGTTGGAAGTTCTCCAGGCATAGCTGCCATGTCTGCCATGCTTTTGGTGTTGAGGTCACATGCATTTACTTTCCAGTGGTGGGCTTTTTTGAAAGCACTGGAAGTTTTCAGATTCTCTGTGGGAAAGAAGTTCCTGCCTAGAGTCTGAATGTGACACTGACAGTGTTTATAGTTCTCTGCAGCAGAGCATTCTTAGTATCTCAGGGGTGACATTTTAATTATCATTACATTAGATAAGAAGTTGTTTTGTAGTTGGAGACATAACTGATGGAGGACAAGGCAGAGTTCGGGGGAACAAATCAGTGACACTGAAGCCACATTATTTTTTTTGTTATAAACTCTGGCAAGTTTGCATTCATGCTCTGATTTGACAGAGATATTCACGTCATCAGAGGGAACTCACCTGGTTTGCAAACAAATTTACATTTCTCCAGTTCATTTTAACTTTGAAATCTGCTTTGATTTTGAACATGCTGACCTGCCTCAAAGCCAGACTTCTCACTACCTGGTCAATGGCAGAGCCGCACTGACTGGTGCTTCAAGATGAATCTGGGCTGCGTCTGGGTGTTGCTGTGTCCAGTTAGCCAGGCGGCGCGGGGCTTTGTGAGCTGGGCCCCAAGGCCTTTTGACAACATGTGCCTTTAAGGCAAAAATGTCTTACCAAGGAGGAACCCACAGAGAAACTAGCAGCAGGAACAACTGCAATATGATATTCTGTGTTTGCCATCATTTGAAACCTCATCAGATAAATGCATGCTGAGAATTTGGCCAGAACCTATTTTTTAAAAAATGAAAGCTGGAAACATTGATCAAATACCAAAATTTGAGATTTTCCCTAATTATAGTGAAGTTTCCTTAGTTAATATTTCCGTAATTAACAGTTTTTTCCCCTACACTACTGTTGCCCTGTCTAGAAATGGGATTATTCTGGCCTGACACTTTCTAGGAAACACCAGTGCTTATTCATATGCTCTCTTCTTGTTGTGCTCTGGGCAAGGGCGTTTTAGGGGGGAATCTAAGTAGGGTACTCTGAGCAAGAGCAGCAAGCAGCTTTGACAGTCATTTGTTGCTCTTACTGTGTGTTGTTTCCCTTCAGTTCTCAGGGCCCTAAAATAAAGACGACCCCTTCACTACAAAGGCATAACTGCCTTCCAAACATTGTCGTGCTGCCTAAGGACTTGTTTACTAAATGAAGGAGTTGATCATGACATTTCTTCTTTTTTGTAAAGAATTAAAAAAGTTTTATATTGATTTTTTTTAGAGAGAAAGGAAGAGGAAGAGAGAGAGAAACATTGATCGGTTGTTTCTTCTACGTGCCCTGACTGGGGATAGAACCTGCAACCTAGGTATGTGCCCTGACCAAGGATCAAACCCGCAGCCTTTTGGTGTATGGAATGACGCTCCAACCGACTGAGTTACCCAGCCAGGGCTGACCATGGCATTTCTAACAATGATTTTGGAAGAGGTAGACTGAGGGGCAGGGGCATTTGCCATGTTTTACTTGGGAGCCTTGACATTTAACTTGGTTCATGGCCAGCTGCTTTGTGCCTTCTGTACCCTAACTGGTTCTTCTCTAAACTTATTTCATCACCCACCAAGGGTTGACACAGGTTATTCTAGGAAAGTGAAGGCTGCTCCCTGGAGCACAGAGCTCTCTGCTGTGTTTCCTTTCTAGAGGGGTTGAATTTTTAGCTCATTGTCACATAATTAAATGCTCTATTTACTGGTAGGAATTAGGATTTTGTAGTGGTCCTTTTGAACAATTAAATTAGAATTAATACTCTGGCTGGTGTGGCTCAGTGGCTTGAGTGCTAACCAGCAAACCAAAGGGTCTCTGGTTCAATTCCCAGTCAGGGCACATGCCTGGGTTGTGGGCCAGGTCCCTGGTGGGGGGTGCATGAGAGGCAACCACACATTGATGTTTCTCTCCCTCTCTTTCTCCCTCCCTTCCCCTCTCTCTAAAGATATATAAATAAATAAAATCTTTAAAAAAAATTCTACCTATCCAGACTTCCTGCTGCCTCTTCTGGTCTTCCTGTCTGCCAGCACTCAAAGTGGACTTTAATTTGCCTCCAAGTGGCAGTGACTGTTTCCGAAATGTTCCTTGGTTCTCCAGGATCAGAGTTTGTGCTGTCAGAGTAAACAAGGTCAGTAAGCACTCCATCGGGCCTTTGTCTTTTAGTTCTTCTCAGTCATTTAGTCTTAGGAAGGACCTGAGTATCTTCATGTTGGATATTGTTAAAAGCACATTGCCTATTTCGTACCCCTCTGATTCAGAATTCAGAGACAGATTGGGTTTTAACTTTTTACCAGGTAAAATGAGGTAAAAGCTTCTGCTAAATCAACAAATATTGTAAACAAGTGGCTGGAATATGTTGACATAATATTGTGTTTTCCTACACATTGCTGCTGGGGAGGAGAGAGATTAGGATGGAAATACACAGGCTTGGAAATGTTGGGCCAGCCCCTCAGGGAGAGCATGCCGAGTGACAAGAATGAAACCAAATTGAGGAGTGCCTTTCACAGGTGGAGAAGGAATGGGGAGGCAGCAGAGCCAGGGAGCAAAGTCTACAAGTACAGAGTAAGAAATTTCAAGGGTGAGGGTCCACGGAGTAAAATACAGCAGAGTTTTCTGGTTCAGTTAGGTCTGGACGTTGACATTGGGTGGGGCAGCTGTGTCTGAGACAGTTGACAGAACCACAGGAGGAAACCAGTGCTCAGAACGATGAGTGTCTGATCCACAGCCAAGCCATCACGAGAACCTGGAAGTGGTCTTCCTTTTGGAGTTTTCTTCTTAATCTCCTTCATGTCCACGAGAGACTGGCTCCTCTGATGTGACTTGTTCGCAGTACCCCATTATATCAGCCACATGTTCTCATTTTTTATAGTTTAAAAATGTCTCATCTCTTTTGTCTTTTATTACGTATATATCATGAATGGAATAAAATGCTTTGTGCACACTAAGCTGCTTATTTACAATTTTGAACTTTGGTGCAACACTTAAAAATTTAAAATATAAAAACATAAATTTGATTTCCATGAAGTGATCATCTGAAGACTCATCACAATAACCTGTCTGACCATGATACATGAACTTGCCTTTATTTGAGAAACATTAGTGTCTTATTTATTTGGCTCTATGCTACCTTTGATTTGACCAGATAGCACATTTTGTTGAGCTTCTTAGTAAAGAGAGGAAATGTATGGTGTATGTATTAGTTTGCTAGTGCTGTTGTAACCAAGTACCATGGACTGGGGGACTTGAATGAGAGAAACTTATTGCCTCATATTTCTGGAGACTAGGACTCCAAGGTCAGGGTGTTGGCAGGGTTGGTTCCTTTGGAGGGCTGTGAAGGAGGGTCTGTTCATGCCTCACTCCTGGCTTCTTGTGGCTCACTGGCAATGTTCGATCTTCCTTGGCTTGGTATTCCTTTGGTATCATCCTGGCCTCTACCTTCATGTTCACATGGTCTTTTTCCTGCATGCCTGTCTGTGTTCAGATTGCCCTTTTTTATAAGGATACCAGCTGTATTCAATTAGGACCCACCCTATTCCAGTATGATCTCACCTTATTTAATTACATCTACAATGACCTTATTTCCAAATAAAGTCACATTCTGAAGTAGTGGGAGTGAGATCTTTAACATACACATTTTGGGGGACATAGGTCAACCTATCACAAACTATAGCATAGTAAAATACTCCAGTACTCAGGTTAGGGAATCTGTCCTTAACATATAAACTACAAATGTTGACCTTTATTTTGCACTTCAAGAAAAATGACATTTGAGCCATTTACATTTAAATCTGTAAATTAATTAGCCAAGTCAGCTAACATGGGAGCAGAAAAAGGACCCAATTAAGGTAAGAGGGATGGCAAGAAAGAGGAAAAAGAAGATTAAATGGCAAAGATAAAGAAAACACAAAGAAGAAACAGTAATGATAGTTATTTTGGGAGCATGTTTCAAATGGAATTTTCTGGATGCAGAAACTCTATGCAGTGTCCCAAATACTTTATTGTAAATAAGACCAAATAGGTCAGTATTTATGATATGGTGAGTTCTTAGCATTCATGGCATCAACTCTGCCCTTAATAAACAAGAAGAACAAAGGTGAAGCTATCGGTTGTTGGATTTTCAGTTTGTAGTCCGAGACTTGTCACTTTCCTTGGGTGGCAGCCTTTACCAACAGGACAGGCCCCTCACAGTGTGGCCCAGCCTGCAAGCCTGCCTGAGCCCAGCTCAGGGGTCACCTTTCCACAGGTCCTGCTCTCTAGGGGTCTGCAGTGTGTTCCCTTAAAGACCAGGGGGTCATTTAGAGGACAGCCTGACCACATGGATACGAGGTCAAAATATCTCATTCAGTGTTAAAATGCAGGTGATTTTTCTAGCCATCCCATCTCATAGACTAGAAATCCCCAGTTGTCAGTGATTCTTTCCTTATTTATATTTAGTGACAGACGTCAGAAGGCATAAAAATACATGATAAATGGTGTTTAGTTGAGCGAGCTCGATTTACAGACTGTACTACCTGCTGATAACCACATCTGCTGTGTGGTATGTGCCTTGAATATATACTCACTGAGACTTGGAAATGGGGAGGATGGCTTTGCAGGGGAAAGGCAGCTGATTTGCAGACAGAAAAAGGAAAAAAAATGCATAGCTCTGGTTTCTTAAATAAAGTGCCAGCCCATTTAGCTCATTATTTGGTATTTATTGATGGTTCTACTCAAAGAGACTTTAGGGCTGCTCCGTCCAGTTCTTGTAACAGCCACGCCAACACCAGCCCCTTTAAAGGAAGACTTTAATATCGAGCCTCCTCATTTGCTCAGCTTTAGATTGGAGCCAGATCATGATGCTCCTTTCTTCAGACCAAGGGGCTCACAGAACCACACTCCCTCCCTCCAGATGTGTTCCAGGGGTAGATAAAGTGTGTGTGCGCTTTATTGCGCTGTGACTGTTTTTTAAATTTAAGTCCATGGTTGTAGAATATGGTGTTATGGAGACACCTCATTCATAGACGGCCTAGTGTATTTTTACAACTCATATTTTGTACACTAGTCACATAAAAACTCAGAATTTGGAGCTTTGAACTCCTCCTGTATCCTTTATATTTTCATTAAAAAATACCTCACATTTTTCTCTTGTCAGCCATTTTCGTTTTTCAAAGTTTCTCTATTTTATATGATGACAGTTCCAGAATTAAAATAAAGGCTTTTGCACACATTGTTTCTTTTAGAAACAAGTCATATACTATTTGACCATTGTTGATAAGAGGAAATTTATATTACTAAATTACAGTTTGTTTCAAGTCCATTTTAATGCTATAACTTCTAAAATGTAGAGTCTTTTAGACAAATATTTGAGCACCTACACTCTGCTGAACAAGAATATAACCACAGTGGTATTCTATTATGTATTTGCCTGCATTATAAAATGTTCATTCCTATCAGTAACTTTATAACTGAAAACCAGAAACAATATGTTCCATTTTAAGGAAAACCTCATTTATTACAATGTAGAACAGTCAGCCCTGGCTGGGTGCCTCAGTTGCTTGGAGCATTGTCCTGTAGCTGAAAGGGTGCAAGTTCAGTTCCTGTCAGGGCACCTGCCCAGGTTGTGGGTTCGATCCCAGATTTAGACATGTGTGGTCCCTGGTCTGGATGTGTATGGGAGGCAACCAACCAATAGTTACTCCTTGCATTGATGTTTCTCTCTTTCCTTTCCTTTCTCTCTGAAAGAAATGGAAAAAATGTCATCAGGTGAGGATAAAAAAAAATTAAAAGACTTAATGAAACACATTCATTAGAGGTGGAGTTTTACAGTACGAAAAGACCTTATCAAAAACTGTCTTTAGAGAGTGGATCTTTCAGGTGTGAAAAATAATTAATTCATGCAGCAAATCTTGATTTAGCATCTGCTGTGACCCAGACACTTCATGTGCCAGGAGTGGGCATGGAGAAGGGGAAGGTAGCAGGGAACTGCAGAAGCTGTGGCCAGTTGGAATCAGTCAGAAATGAAGCTAATACATTTCTAAAATTATCATGTGTGGAACAGTGTGAAAGTAGAGCTGATGATTAGAATTCAACTTACACAGCTTTTCAGGAACACATCCGTAGAATAATGATGAACACTGCATAACAGTTCGGGGTGGGGGGGCGACCAGAGTGTGCACATAAACGAAAGGTAGTGATTCTCTCTAAGTCATGAACAGGAAAGTTGACCCAGAGGCATAAAATGACTGCTCCAAAAAGTGACGTATCTTCTAAAAGTGCTCAGATTTCTCCTTATAACAATTACAGCAATAGTGATTTCACATCTGTTAGTCAGCCTGTTTTAATCTGCAAAAGGTGAAGTGTTTGACAGTTCCTTGTTCTCACATACAGATTAGCTGTATGGAGTTTAACCTTTAGATGTGCTTAAGCAGCCACACTTTACAATTTTTTTCCGGTATAAAACCACCCAAACAGAAACAGTCTGATAACTTATAACTAGGAATACAGAAATCCGACAGACATTTTTTTCACTTGATATAAATTGCTCCAGTTACCTCCTTTTGTCCTTTCTGTCTAGGAATATTTTAACACTCGCCCTAGTGTCTAGAAGCAACTTTACAATTAAAGAATTGAAGCCATTTGCAGTGATATAAATGTCAGAACAGGACAATTCTTCCACTTGAGCTCATTGCAGGATTTTAAATAACTGAGTGTGACTGCTTGCTACAGGAAAGAAGAGAAATGGAACCTTTTATCTTTACCTGAGAATGTGGGGATAAATATGAGTTTTAAACTCCTTATTTGTAGACCATTTATATCTTGAGCTTCTAATTGTTGCAAAAGAACCAAACTTCACAGACTCTATATAGTACACAGTCAACTTTTAAATGCAACTCTGTATTAAATTAATTTTAAGGTAATATGCACATAGATAGGGCATTTTATTCAACTAATGCAAATAATATTACATCGGATTCTATCCATGTTGCCTGAAGAACATAGGATGAGAAAGCAGATGAGAAAGTAAGAGATGGCCAAGTGTGAAGTTGACATAAGCCAGCCTGTCCTCATTTTTAATCAGTGAAGGCTCTCAGGCTTGAACACATGCTGCAGAGAACACATTTTTAAAGGATTATGAGTGTTTACTAGATA